TTCAAGGGCCAAACTGGATGTGAGCATTGGGAAGGTGCCACTGGGAGGTCAGACCATTAGACAACTTTACTCAAGTCTTGTCTGCAATGAGTAGCGAATGGGAGCCTTTCCCAGCCCAACTCGGAGATGCCAAGGATTGAACCAGGGACTTTCTGTATGCAAAGCACATGCTCCACCACTGACCAGCACACTTCCAAGAACTGTCCACTACTGGTTGGCCTGTTTTTAGTGTCTTTAGTGGGGCAGGGCAGTGAAAGGGCTAATCTGCCCCAGGCTATGGTCTCAAACATACTGTAGTTACCAACATGGTCATTTCTGCAACTGAATTCAAGTAAAAATAAATACAAATCAGTGTTGTGTGCTGGCTGGAGTGCTGGGGTGCAGCTTGGGAGACCCAGGTTCAAAAATCCCCAATTGGTCATGAAGCTCACTGGGAGCTGGAGCTGGTCACTTTCTCTGTCAGCTAACCTACCTCACAGGGTTGTTATGAGGATAAAATAGAGGTATGCTTGCTTGAGCTTTTTAGAACTAAGGGAGAAGATAAAACATTTAAATGTACAATAATACTGTACTGAGAGGCACTTCACATCACACCTGGTCTGAATCAGAGTCCCCCTGAAACTCTTAAGTACTTCTGAATGAGGTGTGGGGGATATGCAGCCCTTCAGATGTTGATGGACTACAGTTCCCATCATCCTCGATGACTGGGGCTGATGGGATTTGGAGTCCATCAACATCCAGAGGGGCCAGGAAAGGGGTGCTCAGTACACAGCATTTTCTCTCGCACCTGTAGCAGCTTCCTAACTTGTGTATCCAGAGCCCAAAAAATAGCTGCACCATAAGGGCACGGTTGTACACCAGCATCTTTGCCTCTGTGGAGCTGAGCATGATGGAAGGAGCCAGTGTCCTTCACCTCAGTTATGATGAGCTGGACATTTTGGCCACATATAAGAGACTGAATCTCTCTGGGTGATGACTGTGAGATGGATACTCCTCAAGCAGGCACATTTCAATTGCTTGTTTGAATTTTCTAAATAAAATACGGCATCAAAATGGCAGTCTGTATTCCTCCCACCCACTTTAATCTGGATTTACCCATTCTGGGGGAAATCCAATAAATTGTGGGGGGGGGGGAGAGAAACCCTGCTGTCAACAACCAGTTTGCAAATTAAGCCCCTGTCTGGAAGCCCCCAGACTCACAACATCTGCCTACATGAAACCCCAGAGCAGTAAGGTCAGTTGGTTTAAATGCCAACAGGTTTGCATCCCCTCACACAGCTTGTGAAACCGGAATCACATGCAAGGCCAGTTTGCCTAACATTGCAAGAGGTCCAGCAAGCGCAACCCACCATTCCTAAGCAATCACTACTTTCTTCCCATCATCAAACTGTCGCATGGAAGTTGTCCCTCACCCCGTTATGCCCTAATTGCATGCCCCGTTTTTGTCGTGGGGGGGGGGAGGGGGCTGGCGCTTGCTTCTCAGTCCCGACAGTAGCCAGCTGGATCGCTATTCCCAAGGCAGCCGATCTGGGCTTCACCTGCAACGGGCACGCCAGTTGGGTTGGACTGCTGCTTTCCAAGCCCGCAGCTAGCAGCGCGACGCCTTGTCACACCACTCTGCGCCCCAGCCCTTCGCACCGCGGGGCTCCGCGACTCTAGCGCAGAGGTCAGCAACTGGAGACTCCGCTCGCCAAATCCGGGCCCCCGAGACGACAGGCGTCCTTCCAGCCTAGAGGCGAAAAGTGGGGAAACGGGACTTGCTGGCATGCCGAGTGTGTGGCGTGGAGGGGCCGGCGGGAGGTTGAGGAGCCACTGCTCCCGCCGCCTCCCTCTCGTCGCAGCCCCGCATCCACCGGCAGGGCTGACCCTCCGCTCGCCAGGTGCGCCGCGCTGGCCGCCAGAAAGGGCGCCCAGGCGGTGGCGCGGACGCTGCAATCAGAGGAGCTGCCTCCGAGCAGGCGGCTGACACCGCGGCAGCGCCGGTCCTCCCCTAGCCCTGCCCGGCAGCACAAGGGGCGCCAGCGCCGCACATTGGCAGAGGGCGCCGTCAGTCTCTCGTCCGCCCACCCCGAGCTAGAGGCTCGGCCATCGGGAGCCAGGGACGCCCGACGGCGCTGGAGGCGCGCCCGCCAAGTCACCAGGGACCGATCCCCGGCGTCGCCTCCAGAGGGGGACCGGTCCGCGCGCCCTGTCGGGAGGAAGACCACCGCCGCCGCCACCCAACCCGCCCGCCCGCCTTTCCTGGGAAGGGCGCCGGGAGGCGATGCGGAATTCCCAGCCGTTGCTGCAGCCGGGCTGCCTAGCGTGGCCTTTCCCGCTGCCGCCGCCACTCGATGCCCGGGCGCAGAAGGTGCCCCTGCCCGGCTCGGAGCTCCGCACGCGCGGCAGGGAGGACTCTGTCGGTCCCTCGCCAGCCCTTTGTTGCGAGCCGAACGCCGCGCCCGGGGCGGCATCGGCAGCAAATGGCGCCCGCCTGACGGGGCTGGCCGGGCGCTGCCCGACTGGGGCGCCGCGCAGGAGGAGGGAGAGGCGGCGCGGCCGGACATCCTCCGCTAGCCGGGGAAGCAGAGGCGCGCCCGGCTCACCCTAGAGCCGCCTCAGCCCGGAGGACGCCCTGCTCGGCCTGCTGGCGCTGCCGCGGAGGCGTCGCTGACTTACCGCTCGGCAGAGGCGCGGGCTGGGCGGCGGCGAGACGGGCGTTCGAGGGGCGGCGGGGCTCTGCAAGCGGCGCTGGCTCGGGGTTCGACGGGTGAGGGCGCGAAACCTCGCCGGGCGCCGCCGCCCCAAAGCGCTGAGCAGCCCGGGAGAGAAACAAAAGGTAGTTGCTGACGTGGGCGTTGGAGAGAGACGCCCGAGGGCTGGGGACACAATTAAAGGGGCAACGCAGCGAGCGCGGCAGGGGCCAGGCGCGCACGCCGCTCTGCGCCTGCCGACGGCGCGGGCGCCTCCCCCTCCCCTCCGCCGCCGCCTCCTCCTCCGCCGCCTCGCCTTGCCAGCCCCAGCTGGGCGCCCGGCTGCCCCCCGCTTCTCCAGTGGGCGCAAGCGCGCTCGCCTCCCCGGGGTCTCGAAGGCGGCTCCAGGCGGGCGAGCCTCTCGAAGCCCAAAGGAGCCACGCGAAATGGGCACTTATGGAGGAGCCCCTCTAGACGGGCCTCCCTCGCCGGGCTCTGTTCTGCTCAAAAGGTCAACGACCGCTGCTGCTGCAGCTCCGAACCGCCTTGGTTTTAATGGTGCGGTTCCTTTCTCGCCCTCAAAGCTGGAAAGTGAGGGCTTAGCTGGAGAATAGGTAAGCCCCAAGGCGGAGCTGGGCCAAGACACGGTGTGCTGCGTGGATTTGGGCTGGAAACCCAGCGAGCCATCCGGGGCTGCTGAACAAGAAACACTTGGTCTCTGTGTAGTGGAACTCTTGAATGGTTAAACGCCTTTGGTTAACGAATAAACTCTACCGACCTCCTGCCCCTTCACGGTGCTCTTGAATCTGTCCCCTCACTTAGCTGGAAGGGTAGAGGCAGTTCCTCCTGGATCAAGGGAAATGGTTTGGGGACCTAAAACCGACAAACCTCCCAGCAGGAAAAGAAATTGGGCATGCAAATGACTTTGAAAATTGTAACACTTTTTTTAAAAAAGGGAACGCTTTTAGGATTATTCATATCCACCACCTTTGATCCATTTTGAGCTCTTGGAAAGATGGGCTTTGAAACAGCCACCAAGAGCTGACAGCATGTTTCTATGAAGGGATTTCCCCTAGGAAAAAATAAATCCAGGAAAAGGGCTTGCATTGGTGACTGCATGGCCCCCCCCCCCACTTTGGGTGAGTGTCCCACTGGTTTCTATTTATGGGTCAGGACAGCAGCTCATTAGCAGTGCATCTGCTTTGCATGCAGGTCTTCGATTCCATCTCCAGCACCTCCTGGGAAGTCACTACCAGACAATACTGAGCTAGATGGATCAACGGTTTGACATGGTATAAGGCAGCTTCTCATGACAATCTCTCTAATCCAAGTTCTAGTTGTGCATAAAAGAAGCTGGTTTCCTTTTCCTCCCCATTAGAAAAGACCACACATCCCCCAGACTCACTAAAGACCTATTCAACCAATTCACTGAGACTGGATGAGCATCACAGTGCATATGACAGTTCATATCCAGAAGTGCATCCCTATTGGCTGTGTGCATAAGAAAGGCTGCTTCAACCAGCAGATCCCCTTTATGTATACGGTTGGGGTTCTTGCATTTACAGTCTGCCAAGGGTAGGGCTGCCATACGGCCAGAACTTCCCGGACATAGCTGGTATTTGGCCCTTGTAAACAGCGTCCAGGCGGAAATTGCTTTTTTGAAAAATGTCTGGGAAAATCTGGATGCATGGCAGATCTGAAGGGTAGATTTTGGTGGCAGGGAGAGGAGGGAAGTCAAACAACTTGTGTCCGGATTTTCACTTTTTGAAATATGGCTACCCTAGGTGGTATAATTTATACACTTATATCCAAGCAACTCAAGCTAGCATATGAGACTTGCCCATTTTAGCCTACCTTGATGAGGCTAAGAGTTAGTGGTTGGGCTGACTGGCGATTTGAACCCTGGTCTCCCCGTTCCCAGGAAGGTTTGTCTGGCACCTTCATTATTACATCTTTAGGTGTCATATGAATAATTTTTTCTTTGGCCTTTGGCTGATTAATATTCTACAGCCTTTAAAATGTGTTTGTGGAAGGGGGGTTATTGTTTAGTTTAGTTCTTGTATAATCAATTTATTTTGTACTTTTATCTTGTACTTTTATCTTGAGAACTGCCCTGAGATGTTCGGGTGAAGGGAGGTATCTAAATTTAATAATAATAATAATAATTCCTAGTCTGATACTCCAACCACAGGAGCACCAGGCAAATGCTCAGTTCCAAATCTACATCTGAAGTGGGTGGGTTGGAAAACCACCCTACTATTTGTGCACCCCAAACTACCTTCTTACACAGCTGAGTACCTTACATACAAATAGAAGGCGGCACCGTTATTTCAATGTTATTTTGATATTTATTTTTTCACATTTTCAGCTATAAAAGTACTGGACTACAGTTATATAAACATGTATAGTACATAAACAGTTTAAACATACAAGACTTGATAATGCACCACTGCAGAAACAAAATTACAAAAGCACTTCATATTTGTTTCTCCCGCCTCCCCGGGAAGAAAAAGACAAAATAAAAATAACTGCTATAGTGGTGGTCTCTGCAGATTCTCAACTTTGGTTTATTTCTGATCTACCCTGACACAAGTCAAACATCAGAAAGGAGACACCAGAAATTAGGCAGGCAGTGATGGCACTTCAGTACTACTTTCCATTACCCACAGATAAGCACACAGTTCTGATTAGTCTCTTGAGCCCTGGTATGTTAAGAAAGCAATCGGATCAGGTCGTTTCCCTGCATACCACCAAGACCACTTTAATTCTTACACCTTTGGCCTCCTTACTATTTATTATTTATATAACCACTTATATGCCAAAATGGCTTCCGAGTCGTTTATTATTTACAGGTCAAATGGGCCATATTCCAGTCCAAAGCTCCACAGGCACATAGAACTCAAGTTTGGGGAATATGAGTCACTCCATTCCCTGTAATATCAGTTGCAGCTCCGTGCAGGCAGTGGAAATGTGAACACAGAGCTGTGCTGACTGCGTTAAACAGAAGACCCCCCCCCCAGCTCTTGGTGCACACACACATCAGAACTTCATGTGCAAAGAACACCTGCTGCCAATGAAGCACATATGACTTAAGTTATGTGCAAGCTCTTACCTGGCCAACTAAGAATGCGGCATCTTTCTTTGAGATGTTCAGGGAAACTTTTTTAAAGAGCTTTGTACTTGAGCCGTAATCATGGCATTAGTCACTCCCTAGCCTTATCTCTCCCTACCCTTGCTCTGTTCTGTGTAGGATTTTGAAAGCTCGTTGGGAGCACAGAGCAGCTTTTACAAATATTTTCCTTACGAAGCTATATAAAGTAACCTGTAAACTGATGGTGTACTTCTTCCCACAGGACACAGTTAAAACTATAGGAATAGCCACAGGCATGGATGGTTTTAAAAGAGGATTAGACAAACTCATGCAGCCATGAATGGCTATGTACCACCTTCCAGGACAGTTTGCCTCTGAATGCCAATTGCTGGAAATCACAAGTGGGGAGAGTTGCGCTTGGCTCCTCTCTGTGGGATTTCCACAGGCATCTGGTTGACTGCTGAGAGAACAGGATGCTGGATGCTGGATGGACTTTTGGCCTGATCCAGCAGGGCTCTTCTATGTTGCTGTGTCAGTACATCCACTTACAGCAAATCCAAACTGTGATATGACTGCACTTTCAGAAATTCACACACAATCCATTGTTGCATTGGTCCAATTGATTTCAATAGGTTGCCTGCAGAACAGAATCAAGTTAACACAGATGACAGGAAGAGTCATATCATATGCAGAATGTGAGAACATTGAACTGTCTGCTTGAAATTCAGCCAAGATCTTTTCTGTTTACTTAAAGTAATTTGTTTTTTGCTTCCATTTAGCTTGCAGTCCTTGATTAAAACTTCATAAATTAAAGGAAGATTTCCCTAAAGAGTCATAATTTCTAATATATGTTTATATTCTTAGATTGGTCCTAATCACAACTTTCATTTGTAAAAAAAAAATGTTTAAAAAGGGCTATGGCTATAAAGTTACCATTCACTGTTAACAAAATCAAGCATATGAATTTCTGAAAGGCAGACACCATAAATGCTTAAAAAGCAACTTCCACTGAAATAAGTGGGATTTAATTCCAAGTACAGTATGAACATTTAGGACAGGAGTAAGATTGCAAGATGAAGAGGTTTACCTAGCAGTACAATGTGCCATTAATATACCAACTGCATATTTATGTAGGGGGAGGGGGAAACTAGGGAAATTACACTTGGGGGGGGGAGAGGAAACCCCCTCTGCAAAATTAGTTATGGCAAACTCAGGTGGCTTTTTATTTCTTCTTTAAGCACCATGAAATTGTCTCTTAGAACTGCAGTATCTCTTTTGCTTGCACACTTTTAATGGAGGGTTCCAAGGACACGTCATGGAAGTGAGCTAGAATCACAGCATGTACTACACTTACAAAACACCTGCCACAGATGAGCAAGTCAAGTGCATCATTTTCAATTAAACACAAGATGACACATGGGATCCACTTGGAAACAATTAGAAATCTTATTTTGGCAGTCTCCTAACAGGAATGAGATTGGAATCTGTTCCACTCCAACTCCCATAACACAAAAATGTCAACAGATTCATTCTTTACTCACAAGGTACACAAGAAAACCTCTAAGAATCAAAAGAAGCAGCCTAAAAGGAATCCACATCTCTCAAATCTAGAAGGGTGGTCCATTTCCTCCTAGTTCTGCTTATGCACCTCCAGGACGCACTGTGTGAAAAGCCACTCATATCAGTTTTAGCATACAAGCCATTACAAATCTTGGGCATCACAAGTCTTCAGTGGTTTCTAAAGAACTCAAACAAAGTGATAAGCCGTCCGAATGAGGACAGAAAGGAGCAAGTATCCCAAATGTTCTGAGCTAATGGGTTAAGAATAGCCTTCACCAACCTGAGGCTCTCCAAATGTTGCAATACAGCTAGCCCCTGCCAACACACTGTGCTGTACGTGCTGAGTTGTAGTTCAACATCTGGAGGGCACCAGGTTGGCAAAGCCTGAGTTAGGAGCACAAATTGTGTCCCTAACCTGCATTCAATGAGCAACTCCATTCATTAGAGGTTCAAGAGGACCTTCAACTGCTTTGTAAACTCCAGGCTCCCTTGTGCTCAGCTTTGGGGAAAGCCATTGCTAACTTTCAGGGCTGAACCTTTCAAATTGTTTCTCAAGACCAATTTCCTGAAAGATCAGACTACATCCCCCCCGCACTGTGTTTTCCAATAACTATGCAAGTCTCACCTATTCAGAAAGACACCTTACAAAAGTGGTCTTCAGAGCCTTGGTTCTTTTAAGGAAAAAGGGAGCCTATTGTAAATATCTTTTTTTCTTTTGCTATACAGTTACAATTTTTTTTTAAAAAAAAGAAAGATTATTGCTTCTTTCCTTGCCTTGTTTCATCCTGCACAATCTCATGATGATATAAAAATGCTACATTTATGACATCATAACCCCTTCTACAGTAGTGTTTTATGAACGCACAAGAAAATTTACACCTTCATTTCAAGAAGAAGCAGGTGGGAGAAACCTGCATGTTAAAAGTTAATATAATCCATCAAGCATCACAAATTAGACAGAATGCTGTTTGCAGGACAGTCCGTATCAGAGCTGCCCAACACAGAACAGGAACACCAGCCTCATTAAGGCAGACCTGTAAGACTGGTGGCCAACCTGAGTGTGCCATTGTCATTCAGGTAAGCAGGTTTAGGTATAATCCCAAATCTTTCAAATGACCAAGATGGCTAGGAACTGCCATGTACAGTTATGCACCTTGTTTTTAACTGGATAGTTTTGGTATCTTCATTATCTTATGTCTACAGACATTTCACAGTTTTCCAGCCAGTTTAATAGCCTAGAGAAATTCAGCACTAGAAAAGTAAAACAAGTAACCTCACATCCTTCAAGAAGCCCAATTCCTGCCATTCAACAGGAAAAGGGTGGAGCCCAAGCTGAAAATTTTAACAAGGAATAGTACTCAAGACCAATTCATGAGACAGTACAAATGTAGAAACCACGATGATCAACAAATACGACCAACTGACTGTACAAGTAGCAGGAACACATACAGGGGGTGGGTGGGGGTTTGTAGGACAGCCAGAGCACAGGGGCTATGTCAGAGAAGTCGTATAAGCAGAAGAGCGGCCAGCTACCTTGCTTATTCACATTTTTTACAATAATTGCATGAGTATAGTTATTTGAGAAGGGGGCAATTCATGCCATCTACAATGACCAGAACTCTGGTGTTCTTGTAGCCTTGAGTAGTTTGTTGCTTAAATGAGGGGGAGGAAACTGAGGTTCTTGCAATTCCAACAAGCATCTTTATGGCCAGCTCTCAGGCATTTCATGAGATCCTCTTCAGGATTTTATATTTATCCCTCTCACATTTCCCCTCATTGTGAGGGACTTCCTGCTGCTGCCATGTCTGCTCTCCTGGTGCTTAAGACATATAAGCAGGTGCGATTTTGCAAATCCATTAAAGGCACGCAGGCATGCTGGTTTTGTTTTGGTTTTTTCTTAAGGGAAAAAAATGGGCCTGCACAATGAGAAGAACATCTTCAGTAATTACCGTATTTTTCGCTCTATAAGACGCACCAGACCACAAGACGCACCTAGTTTTTGGAGGAGGAAAACAAGAAAGAAAAAAATTCTGAATCTCAGAAGCCAGAACAGCAAGAGGGATCACTGCGCAGTGAAAGCAGCAATCCCTCTTGCTGTTCTGACTTCTGTTATAGCTGCGCAGCCTGCATTCGCTCCATAAGACGCACACACATTTCCCCTTACTTTTTAGGAGGGAAAAAGTGAGTCTTATAGAGCAAAAAATACGGTACTTAAATAAATGTTTAACAGATTGTGTGCTGGACCTGTCTCCAGACAGATCGGTAACAAAAATACTCTAATTCATAGGAAGGTATGTCCACCCAGCCCATTATTTTCTATGCTGATTTGTGACAGCAGCAGCAGTTCCTCTCCAGGGTGGGGCCTCAGGCAGTGACTTCTTTTCCTACTGCCTGCTGCTACCTGATCCTTCTAGCTGGAGATGTTGCCAGGATCCTACCTGGGACTTTCTGTACCACTGAGTTATGGTCCCACTTCAAAACTCGCCAAAAGTATGAGGCTAGTAGTAGATATATGGCCTAACCCTGAAAGGCCTTTCCCGGTTCAAGCACTACGAAAACGGTCAGTGCCTGGTTGAATGGCTCAGACCCTCAAGAAGGTTGCCATAGAAATCGGCATACTGTTTATCTGCTGCCTGACTAGATACCTTCCTCGCAGGTTTCTTGAGGATGAACAGAAATGTCAGTATTTAGTTTTTATAAACGTACAGTAAAAAATAAAATACTGTATAAAAAGAGCCATTTCTAGATTTATGTATACACAACTGTTCATTCTTGGATATGCTTTAATGGTGGTGGACTTTTAGCCTTGTTTGCATTGATTAAGTTCTCATCTACATTACTAAGGTAGAATTAAAAGTCCAGGAAAGAGAGCAGCAGCTCAGAATTAAGTTTGAGACCCAGATCCTGAGAGGAGAGAGGGAGAGGGAGAGACAAAAATGGGAGGGGGGAGAGGCAAGATCACAGGAACATGGAAGATTACTGGCCATAAAGGGACAAAGCCTGGCCTCATATCCAAAGGATGGAAGAAGGTCTGCAAGGAACATAGCCTCTGCTCAGCCTGGACACACAATTCCTTTCAAAGGTGTAGCGCACAGCACTAACAAGTTAAAAAGACATTTCAGAATTTTAAAAGTCCAGTTGTTCCTACCTGTTCTAGGAAATGGAATTTATTCATATAAAAAAACCCCACAAACTTCACAACTTGGGATAAATATGCAGTTTTCCGGCTGTCAAGATGACAAATCAAATAAGAAAAAGAATTTACATCTCCCCACCCTCTTTTTGCTGCTACATAAGTGATTCTCGATGGAGATCCTGCTTGTCGTCAGGATCAGGGTCAGCATCATCATCTTCAGGGGGGTCATTTTCATCACCAGATTCCACATAGATGGGCCAATCGTTGTCTGGGTCGCTCTTTTCTTGGCCTTCAGACGAAGGTTCCATCAGACTGAGGTTAATGGGCATCGAATCCTCGTGCGTAGTCGTGACACAAGTGCAGCTGTCGCACAATCCAAAGCGGCGCAAGCCTTGGGACAGGCTGCTTGTAAACGTTCTCCTGCAGCCCTTGCAGATGATTGGCTTGTTTGACCGATGGACCTGGAGCATCATGACACAAAGCAGGAAGGGTCAGTGGCTGGCACAAGAATGACAGGTTGAACTGGATCTGGCCTTCTGGCCAGGCTCTGCACTCCCCACAGATCAATTTTGACAAGTCAGCAGCCCCAACCACCTATCAAGGTTCAGAAGGGATCCATTTAACTGCTGATCAGGGCAAAAGTCCATTTCCAGGGGCGGTTTGAATCCAAACCCCACCTGCAAATGGGACAAAGTGGACGTCAAAATGGTTGCCACATACAATGCCAGGTGTGGAGCAGGTGGCTATCAGTTTGGGGAAAATCGTCTCCTGGACAAAAGTCAGTGCCATGGCAGGCCCAATTATACTGGGGGTTGGGGGCGGAGGTTCCCTACAAGTGGTTTGAAGTCTGCTTTTTTAAATTTATTTTTTATTAAAGATTTCTTGGTTTACAAAGTTATGTGCAATGTCTCTATTTTCAAGTTACATTTTCTACAGATCAGTTTCATTTGTTGATACATTAGTGTTACATTAGGATGAAAAGTGGGACAGAGGTGGAGGGGGCCATGGTGAGTGGGGGTGGAGTCGGGTGGCAATGCTTCTATTTTACTTAGTGTATGTGTGAGGTTTTGTGCCAACATTGCTTATGTGGGTTCTCTTTACTATTCGCTTGTGTTCGTTTGGTGGTGAGAGAGGTTGGGATTGGCCTAGGCGGTGGCTGTTTTTTGTGACTGGCTGTGGTGAACTTTGTTTTCATGTGTGAGTGGGGTGGGCGGGTGTTTTTGAATCAAGTTAGCCATATTGATTCGTATGCTGTTGGTGGATTCTTGTCATTGTCTTGTTGGGCTGCGTATGTGATAAAGGGGAGCCATACCGGGGTGAAGGCGTCTTCTTCTATTTGTCCCCATGTCAGTTTCAGTTTATTGGTTAGTTTTTCTAATAGGGCTGTTTCCCATACTATTTGGTACCATTGGTCCATGCTTACTCCTGACAGGTCTCTCCAGTGTCTGGCTATGATGATTCTGGCTGCTCTTTATGATGTAGTGGGCATTATTATCTTGGAAGATGTTTAGTAGGGCCAATTCTGGGGTGACTTCTAATACTTGCTTAGTTATTTTGCATATTTCTCGTATGGTTCTTGTCCAGAATAGTTGGGTTTTGGAACATTCCCACCACATCTGGAGGTATGTGCCTGTGGAGGTGCATCCTCTCCAGCATTTTGGTGAAGTTCCTGGGTGTATTAGCACTACTTGAAGTCTGCTTTTTAAAATCAAAGGGTGTTAAGGATTCTCCTGGCAGAGTCCTGGGAGTGACAGCAGCACCAGCCACCCCACAATTTAGCTTCCTCTTTAACTCGCCTCTTGTTGCACATCTCTGACTTACACTCAGAGCATGACTCCGGAGGTGCTCCTGCCGTGTGAAACGCTTGCCGCATATCTCGCATGGGTAGGGCCTCTCGCCCGTGTGCGAACGGATGTGCCGCTTCAGAATCCCTTTCTGTTTGGCCGTGTATGGGCAGAATGGGCACTTGTGCAGCTTGATCGGCACGACCAGCACATCACCTTTGGAAACAGAAGCATTTCAGAGGTGTCAACTCGCTGTTCTTGAAGAGGGGTCAGAATTTTAAATGCTGGTAACTGAAGAAAAGCACATTTTTTATGGTTTAGAATATATGAGGGAGAAAGAGGAGGTTACACACATGCCACACAACACTACTACTACAGCTGACACAGCATCAGGGTGTGGTGGGAATTCACTTAGTGCAGCCTTCCTCCAACCTGGTGCCTTCAGATGTTTTGGACTACAACTCCCATCAACCCCAGCCAAGGGAGTTGTAGTCCAAAACAGCTGGAGGGCACTGGGTCAAGAAGAAACTAAGGAAATGTAATCTCCCAGCAAAAGAATTGCTTTCTTTGGGGGAAATGCATCCAAATTCCACACAGAAACATAGCAACTCTTGTCCTGGAAAAATGCACACATAAAAATCTGCAAATAGAAAACAAAAATATCAGGAGGAAAGGTTCTGGTCCTGCTTGTTACCTGTTATGCTAGCTTTCTACTTGCATCAAGTTGCTTTCATACTTCACACACCCTCACCCACACGCCTGAAGCAATGCAGTATAGTCGACCATTTCATTCTGGCAGAAATTAAGGCCAAACTTCCCTTACAAGGCTGATACCTGGACTACCCCTGCAGGTTGCACTACTTCAGGCTGCAGGTGGTAAAACATTTCTAAATGCAACTCCCTATAAGTATAAAACTAGCACAAAGTGATAGCTGGCAGGCCTGGAATCTTTCTTCCCGATGTTCTGACTGTTTACTCGCAGGGAGATTCTTATTGCTCCACTGTCTGCATAGGTCAAGCCCGAGTCAACAAACATTTCTTTTTCATGATTTTTTACTAGCCTGCCCAGCCTCAACATACTACTGCAAACCATTTTTCTGCACATCAACAGCAGAAAATAAATGCTACAAAATTTGCTTTTTATTCATAAGGATGTTTGTGCCTGCTCACCCAAGGCTTGATATTTCAAGCTTGTTATAAACACTGCTTATTTCTACCAAAAGTCTGCAGTCCAGCAATTTCCTGCTGCAATTAATTCTATGGGACTTACTTTGGAGTAAACTCGAATAGGATTACTCTATTAACCTTCCAGGAGAGAAATCTTCAAACTGAAAGAAAAAAGGTATTTTACGACCTGAAGCTAGGACATTGGGGAGGGGGGCAGCAGGCTATATATGCCCTCCAACCATGAAGTGATGCCACGTAATTTGGCTTTGAATTACTGTTTAGTGTACCATCTAAAATTATTCTCCATCTTTGCCAACAAAAAGACCACAATGGAATTCTTAACCTGCTTACAAAAGACCCCTGCATTCCATTTGGTGCTGGAGACAGACCCAGGGAACTGTTTGAGGCTTTTAAAATATAGATAAAGGGACAAATAGTAATTGCTTCTTTTTTCCCCAACAGTCCTCAGTACCACCTGAAATCTGATTTGCACCAAAGCAAAGTCTCAGCTAATTCAACCTGGTTAACAGACTTCTGCTCTTGAGTTTAAGACTGTTACATGCTGCAGATTTGTAGGCTTGTATATTGTACCCTCCTCCTTTACTCTCCTGCAGCCCCTTGCCCACCCCACCCCTTTTTGCCCAATATCCAGCCCGTTCTGAAAAACTTGCTTGTGATTTTGTGACATTCTGGTTGGCCCTAATGAAAGTGAACTCTTGGTACTGTGCACTGCCAAGGCAATGTTACAAGTCATCAAAACAGGATGTATGTTTATTCTTTGCTCCCCCTTGCAGGTATAACTTTCTACAGTTTCATCCAGAAAGCTATCCACTGCAACAGAAGAATCTCATCCAGCCTCATGGGATCTGATCTCACCTGCATCCTCTCCATACCAGTCATTGTGAATGTCCACCACGGAACTCATGGGCACTCCTGCATCCTCTGGCCTACCCTCAAACCCGCGGACAAAATGATGGACCACATCGTCCTTCCTCTGGGCTGCACTGTTGCGCAGCAGAGCTTCTAGAAACTGCTTCATGTGATAGTTGTTGCATGCCAGGTCCATGGCCTGGCCACTATGGAGCCCCTCCTCTATCTGCTCAATCGTCAGCGGTGTTGGGTACTGCTGTAGTCGCTCGCCAACTTCCACTTCCACTTCGTCTGCATCAAACTCTACTTTGGGTTCTACCACTTTGGGCAGTGAAGAATTTGTGTCATCTGGAGAGTCACTGCTTACAGGGTCCCGCACTACAAGCTGAATGGGGTGGCAGCTGCAACATTCCCCACAGGGAGGGTCTCGCTGGCAATCTGGAACCCTCTCTTTCTCCTGCAGAGATGAAACTGACGCTGAGCACTGGCTCTTTGCCCCATACGACGTGCCCTCTCGAGCAGAACTAGAGCTCCCACTGTCAGCCTGATAAAAGGCAGCTTCTCTCTCTATTTTCCTGCAGATGTCCAGTGACGACCTGATGTATGTCTTGCAGAAGTTGACAACATCAGTCATCTGCAGGTAACTGGCTGCAGACATAACTTCAATCACGTTTTCCCCACAAAGATCCAACTTCCCTGAATAAAGGAAGTCCAGGATAATTGAGAAGGCCTCTGATGTAACAATGTCCAGGGAAGCAGTGCTGTGTCGGCCACTGTCTTGGATGTAGTGGATCAGCAAAGCTCTGAAGTAACCACTGTTGGCAAACAGAATGTTTTTGTGGGCTTTGAAAATCCTCCCCTCCACAATGATGCTACAGTCACAAAAGAAGTCCCTCTTCCGCTGCTCATTGAGCTCTCCCAAGAGTTTGGTGTAGTAAGATTGCATCTCCATTGCTCCTACAGCAAAGAACTACCTCTTGACTCTGAAAGAAAATGCAGGAACAGAACATCAGCACAGAAATGCCTTTCCTTTCATGCACAGAGATCGAGTCCCTCCCCATCGTAGCATATCTCCCCACCCCTCCAAGGCACACAGAACTGAATCTGGAAAACTTGAGGACCAGAGAAAAATTCCATCCAGAACAGCTGATGCATATGCTGGCAAGAAACCTTTAAAAACCCAGTAATCTGAATACTCCATCTACATTGACCTATACTGAACACATCACCTCAACTAGAAGCTGAGCACACTAGGGCGCTTTCAGACTACTGCTATTTTCAGATGAGATTCAATCAAATATTGGCAAATTCAGGAAGTGCATTTGAAGTTGCTCTGGAGCTCTTGCACAACAAACCCACTTTGAACTTTTTGTGTTAAGTGATGAGGAAATCATGTGAGATAACATTTGCTTGATGCAACATCGTCTAATCTCCCCACAGACTAATCAGCATGAGATTGTCTGAAAATGGCTTGACTTAGGAGAATTGTATCCATTCAGGGGTTTGCCAGCATGCATTGCCAATTCACACATTATGCTAAAAGTGGCTTTCAATGATCTATTGATGTATGGAACTGCCCAATTACAAGTTGGACAACTGGTTCATCTCTAGCTCACTACTGTCTGGTCCAAAAGATGCTCTCCACAGTTGCAGGCAGAAAAATGCATTTCCCAGTCTGGCTATCAACTCCTTCACCATTTAACATATTTTAGGAGCCCTTAAAAGGGTAAAGGTAAAGGGACCCCTGGCCATTAGGTCTAGTCGTGGCCGACTCTGGGGTTGCGAGGCTCATCTCGCTTTATTGGCCAAGGGAGCCGGCGTCCAGCTTCCGGGTCATGTGGCCAGCATGACTAAGCCGCTTCTGGCGAAGCAGAGCAGCACACAGAAACGCCGTTTACCTTCCCACCGGAGCGGTACCTATTTATCTACTTGCACTTTGACATGCTTTCGAACTGCTAGGTTGGCAGGAGCAGGGACTGAGCAACGGGAGCTCACCCCATCGCGGGGATTCAAACCGCTGACCTTCTGATCAGCAAGTCCTAGGCTCTGTCGTTTAACCCACAGCGCCTGCCACAAAAGGCAGATAGGCCTGAATCTGAACATCAAATTCATCAGGGGTGTTAAGCAGCCAGCTGGTGTACCAGGATTATAGGACTTATTTGTCCATATATGAGTTCTTAAAATGCACAAGTGGAATGGAGAAGTAGAGAGAAAAACCTGTGCTTTTTAATGGGATATCTAATCACTGTGCCTGAAGGAGCGGAGAAAGTGGGAACAGGAATGCAGCTTCTCTCGCTACATTCCTCTTGCGAGAGTCCAAAACTATGCAAGGTCACCCTTCTACAGAGAGGGCATTAGGACCCAAGCAGACTCTTCTTCCTCCTCAACCATGTGGCTTGTGTAGCATAACCCTCCAGGGGAAGCCAGTCAGTCCTAGGAACAAAGAATTTTCAGCACAGCCAGCAAGGAAAACACACACCAAAAACTGGAGCATCCGGGAGATCACTCAGCCTTTTCACCCCTGAAATACTTGCATGCTTTTGTCAGTTCTGAGCTACCACATCTCCTTCAGTACCCCTCACCTCCGCTTCTCCAGTCTAACTCTCCTTAATAATCTTCTCCAGAAATCTCACTTTCCACATTTTTTTTGCCATAACTATTCCAAACCTATTTTCCTTCACAAATTGGCTGCAGACAGAAGAAAACAGTCCTCACTACAGAGGTTAAGAATAAATGGCAGGGGGGGAAATCACAATTATTGTGTTACTGACACAATGGTAGCCTTTCTTTGCTATTACTAGAATAAAAATGAGAGAAACACAGTTGGGATGAGGCACCCATTTTGCAGGCAAGAGAATCAAGGCATGCAACTATAAATTCCTTTTGAGACTATAGATGAGTTTCATCCCTAAAACCACCACATTAGTGTTGCTGCAGTCAGTACACTGGTGCCTTGGTTGTCAAACGGCTTGGCTCCCAAACAAATCGGCTCCCAAACACCAGAAACCTGGAAGTAAGTGTTCTGGTTTGCGAACATTTTTTGGAAGCCAAACATCCAATGTGGCTTCTGATTGAGTGCAGGAAGCTCCTGCAGCCAATCAGAAGCCGCACCTTGGTTTTCGAACAGTTCCAGGTGTCCAATAGACCCCCAGAATGGATTAAGTTCGACAACCAAGGTACCACTGTACAGGGGTCTATGGGATATTAGGGGTGGGGCAATACCTCAGCTTGGGGACACATCATGCTTTTCTAGGGTGATTTGTCCACCTTTAGTCCCTACCCTGAACTCAGCTCTCAGCTATGGCTCCTAGAAACTGTCAGCATGTGACAACAGCCACTACCTGGGAACAGCTTCCACTGGCCAGCTAAACCAGGTGATGGTAGCTGATGGGCCTCAAACCCTCCCTGAGTTAGGGACTTCCCTGCATGTGAAGACAGGCTCTGGAGGATTGAGCAAACAAGTCCAATACTGGGTCCAACAGTCAAGAAGGTGGTTTCTGCATAAGCTGTAGAGGGAAGCCAGGGACAGATGGGAGAAGGAAATTCTGATCCTAAACCTCCACTGCCTTGCAGGATATTTTTGGGAGAAGGATTAAACCCTACACAAATCCAGAGATCTGTCCCTAAGTTGGATGGCACCTTATATGCCTCCTTCTGGCAAGTCCTGCAACCAGGCTGGTGCCAATTGTTTTCCTCTGGACATCAGTTATGCTCAGAGGTGGAGGGCTTATTGTTGTCTGGGCTTCCCAGGTCCTCCATACACATTACCCAGGCTTGCGCCCCAGGGAGGTCATTTAAGTGCTGCAAACACAGTGGTTTGACTTCACTCCTGGAGGAGCACTCCTTTGTCCCTTGAGACAAATGGATGCCAACAAAGTCAGTACATAGAATAAGATCTCATTTTCTTCTAAATTTGAGAGCATGCAAGTATAAGCGGGGACTGCAACATGTGTTGGCAAGAAGGTAGCCTTGACAATCCAGGGGACCAAACTTATCACACTATCCCAGGCATAGGCAAACTTGGCCCTCCAGATGTTTTGAGCCTACAATTCCCATCATCCCTGACCACGGGTCCTGTTAGCTAGGGATGGTGGGAGTTGTAGTCCCAAAACATCTGGAGGGCCAAGTTTGCCTATGCCTACACTATCCTCTGTCCCACCCTCACTGTGTGCAAACAGTGAGGGGATGGAATGGGACCCTTTTACGAAAAATGCCAATACAGCCACAGACCAAACCAAAATGATGAATACAGAACACACTTTTGGAAATGCAAGGACTTAAAAGAAGTAAAATAAAGAGCCCCAAAGCATGTACAGTGGTACCTCGGGTTACATACGCTTCAGGTTACAGACTCCGCTAACCCAGAAATAGTACCTCAGGTTAAGAACTTTGCTTCAGGATAAGAACAGAAATCGTGCTCTGGCAGCGCGGCGGCAGCAGGAGGCCCCATTAACTAAAGTGGTGCTTCAGGTTAAGAACAGTTTCAGGTTAAGAACGGACCTCCGGAACAAATTAAGTACTTAACCTGAGGTACCACCGTACAGAGTGCATTCCCCTTACCATCAAGGTACCCACAAGCTGCCCACACATATTTGTTCTTAGAAATTTAGCACTGGAGAATTCCCTTCATAGGCAACACAAGATCACAGCTCTGTAAAGCTCAGGGACACCAAGTCCAGCACTTTGAGGCTGGATCTTTCAACCTGCAAAATAAGTGCCATCCAGCTCCCACTTCAAATGTCTCAAATTGGTCCAGTGCCACTAAGCAATAGGGACAGTGCCTCTGAGCTTGTACAGATTGCCCTTCCCTACTGAGCACCCAGAATCTGCCTTCAGTGGGAAATTCCAGGTCACCGCACACATGCTTGCCACAGAGACTCAGCCCCAGCGGGTCTCCTTTTAAGCAGCCAAGTCCCAAAGACACACACGAAAGCACCCTCTTCAGCGTCATTCAAGACTCAGCCCTGGCAACTGTTTTCGATATAAGATCTCAACCTTGGAGCATAGGACGTAAGAGCAGCCAGGGTACCGGGTGCTTCCACTACCTCTCTCCCAGAACTACAAGGACAAGGAGGAAAGGTGCAATTCTCATACAAAGCTGGCTCCAACGTCTTTCTAGCACTGCCAACTTTCCCCACCCCTTTTTTGCTCCGTTACCCCAGCAAACAGCACCTTTGCCTGGAGACACACAGACGCTCACAGGTGACAAAAAGGTTTCTCTCTCTGCTATTACAGCCTTCACCTCCTACTGATTTCTACAGAAGATGAAATATCACAGGTACAGGAGAAGCTGAGGATAGGCTTCTTGGGCCAATACTCCCCCCCCCCCACATTAAGCCTGTAATGGGGGGGAAATGGGAGGGGGGAGAAGAGGCGGGTACCACCCAGGTCCAGCAGTCTCCGGAGAAGGAGAAGGGCAGTGGCCCTTTCTGGCAGCGCCCACCTATGCTCACGCACGGCTAGCCAGGAAAGGCTTCCTCCTCTTCCCCCTCAATGCAAAGGCGGAGCAGCGACACCAAAAACCGCAGTAGCAGCCGCTTCCATTCTCCCTGTGCTGCTCACCTTCCAGCCGGTCCCTTGCCTTGCACGGCTCTACCTAGCCTGACACACACACATAGACACACGCTTCGCAGGAGCCGCCCAAACTCCCCGAGCATCGCCAGCCGCCAATCGCAGCTTCAGCCGCGAGCGAAAGAAGGCGGAGCTAGCACAGCAAGTTCAGCTGCGCCTGTGCGGCGGTTTCATCGCCCCCTACCCTTCTCCTCCCACAGAGCATGCGCCGTGCCTATGGCCTGATGGGGATTGTAGTTCCCTCATCTTGAGGCGCTGTGATAAAGCGGGAGCGGGGTGGGTTAGGTGTCAATGGTGTAGCAGGAACCCCCCCCCACCCCAATCATTCTGCTTGTACAAACTTCATACACACACACACTCACACACTACATACGCCACATTTCTGTTATAAATTCATAGAAAATCAACCATACATTGGATTTGCACTGTTCCATTTTTATTTTACTCCATATGACAAGAACTAACAAAAGGGGAGGGGGGTTTGACCCTGGTCAGCCAAAATCCCTTCACTGTCTCAGCACATCTGCAGGAGCCCTGCCCAGATGATCCCAGACAGAAGACAATCAAAATCACCAAGAACTTGCATATGGGAGTGGATTCAGCATGGACTGAAACAAAGGACAATGATCAGATCTTCCCTCAGGGGGCAGAAAACTGCAAACTCCCCTTTGTCTCCTGGAAGTGACTCATGGGGAGGGGGGAAAGGAGGAACCAGCCAGGTGACAAGATACTCGGGTTACCACCAACTCCTCCCTCAACCCCTCCTTTCTGTAATATATGCATGATGTTTCTGGGGGGTGGGCTTGACCTAGAGGAGGGGAATTTCAAAAGTTTTTATAAGACCTTGCACACTATTTTTCTGGGTCTTTCATAGAATCATAGAATCATAGAGTTGGAAGAGACCACAAGGGCCATCGAGTCCAACCCCCTGCCAAGCAGGAAACACCATCAGAGCACTCCTGACATATGGTTGTCAAGCCTCTGCTTAAAGACCTCCAAAGAAGGAGACTCCACCACACTCCTTGGCAGCAAATTCCACTGTCGAACAGCTCTTACTGTCAGGAAGTTCTTCCTAATGTTTAGGTGGAATCTTCTTTCTTGTAGTTTGGATCCATTGCTCCGTGTCCGCTTCTCTGGAGCAGCAGAAAACAACCTTTCTCCCTCCTCTATGTGACATCCCTTTATATATTTGAACATGGCTATCATATCACCCCTTAACCTCCTCTTCTCCAGGCTAAACATGCCCAGCTCCCTTAACCGTTCCTCATAAGGCATCGTTTCCAGGCCTTTGATCATTTTGGTTGCCCTCCTCTGGACACGTTCCAGTTTGTCAGTGTCCTTCTTGAATTGTGGTGCCCAGAACTGGACACAGTACTCCAGGTGAGGTCTGACCAGAGCAGAATACAGTGGCACTATTACTTCCCTTGATCTAGATGCTATACTCCTATTGATGCAGCCTAGAATTGCATTGGCTTTTTTAGCTGCCGCGTCACACTGTTGGCTCATGTCAAGTTTGTGGTCAACCAAGACTCCTAGATCCTTTTCACATGTACTGCTCTCAAGCCAGGTGAGGGGAGCACCCTCACCTGCGAGTGAGGGGAGCACCCTGTCGCGACAGTCTTTCTTCAATAAAGACCAGGCCTACAGGCTGCTGATTTGCTTCAATTTGCTCTGGTTGGTGTTTTATTTTTGTCCAAGGGAGCCCTCAGATTTTTCCTGTAACAGTTGGCGACCATTCTCAGGGACACTTGGTTCTCCTGCAAAGGTGAGGAGGGAGATAGAGGGGATCGGGCGCCACTGGGCAACCTTAGCCCAGGGATCCTTCTTCCTCTCCCTGCCTCCTCTTTGCGGGCGGTAATCAATCGTCACCAAAAGCCCAACCAGGGGAAGCAAAGGCAAGGTCAAGCCGGCTAAGGGGAAAGGATCCTGGGATCCACGGGGGACATCTTCGAACATGAGTATGGTTCTGAAGAAAATACATTGGGAGGGGGGTGGAAAGTAACGTCTCCACAACAGCTGGACTTTTCTCCTTTATTTCCAACGTTACACCTACAAATCCTGAATCTCCTTTTCTCTCTCTCTCCGTTTTCCTCTTGGAGTGTGGCCAGGAAAACGTGGTGTTTATTGTTTTTCTGACGTCCTTTTTCGGAGTCGGCCAGAGGCGTCCCCTACAAATCTCTCTCTCCTTTTTCTCCCCCGTTTTCCTCTCGGAGTGTGGCCAGGAGAACGTGGTGCTTATTGTTTCTCTGACGTCCTTTTTCGGAGTCGTCCAGGGGCGTCCCTACAAACCTCTCTCTGCTTTCCCTGTTTATGCAAATGAAGCTGCCCCTCCTGCCCGGCGACCTTCGTTAGGGATGACCCGGGTACGTGAGAACGCAAGGTCATTTGTTTCCTTTCAAAACTTTGTTTTCTCGGGTCCTGATCTGGCACTGCACTGCGCAGGCGTTCAGTAAGGAATCCGAACTTAGTCCAAAGGCTAGGCAGGAGGCTGTTGTGGAAGGTAGAGGGGAGGTTCACAATTGGGGCCCCACACTAGGGTTAGTCTTGAAAAAAACAGTGCTGTGGTTTAGGTTTCCAGGCAGAGACCCGTGGTTAAGGTTTCCGGGCAGAGACCCGTGGTTAAGGTTTCCGGGCAGAGACCCGTGGTTAAGGTTTCCGGGCAGAGACCCGTGGTTAAGGTTTCCGGGCAGAGACCTGTGGTTAAGGTTTCCGGGCAGAGACCCGTGGTTAAGGTTTCCGGGCAGAGACCCGTGGTTTAGGTTTCCGTTCAGGCTTGACGTTTTCAGCAAATAATTTGTGGTCAAGAAATAAGTAGGGATTGTGTTAAGTCAAGGATACTCCAAATACTGAAAGAATCTTTCTTCTACCCCCTTTCTTCCCATTGTCCTCCTCCCTTGTGTGTGTGTTTCCACTCTTTCTGTCTTTAGTGTACTTCGTTAACGGAAAAAAGCCCAATAATAACATATGAGAGAATGGGAGCTCACTAAACACCCTAGCTGGACTCCTCCTGGCAACAAAGCTTCCATGAAGCCTTTTTGCCCCAGAGAGGATTCTAATATGCCCCTCCAGCTTGTCATCTCCAATTGGGGAAAAAATAAAAATAAAAAAGGGGCAATATGGTCTTTCAAGTACAAAGTATGAGACCGTTGTAACTTTTAGTGGGTGGCTTAGGCTCACCACCTGGAACCCAGGGCACAGCAGCCACCTCAGGGATCCTTCAACAAAATCAGGGTGTGAACCCATAGGGAGAGCTGAAAACATCAAATTTGTGTTGTTAAACTATGACCTAAAGCTAGAACATAAAATGAAAACTTAATGGTGCTCAGAAGGCAGTAGATATAATAACAGCCCAGCCTGAGAGCCCACGCATTAGAGATCTTAGTTAATAAAATAATAATAATAAATGAATAAGAGATGATCTCAAGGATTTAGAAATATTCCAAGGGTTTGTATTTACATATGAAGTGTGCAAATGTTTGTTATTTGAGAAAAGCTCTAAAAAAAAGAGTTTTCCTCCCAAGTGGTAAAATCCTGTATACATGCTACCTGTGTTCTGAAAGGAGGATTACCTCCCCTCCTTCCACTAGTTTAAAAGAGGAGGGTGATTTTAAGTCTAGTGGTAAATGATGTTTTGTTGTAACTTTTGAGTTTGTGAGTCTACATCCGTGTTCCAGTCTTTTGTTTCAGTATTTTGAAATGTGCTGTGAAAAAAACCTAATGTTTCTGCTGCAAAAGCCTAGTTGAGCCAACTGCTCTCTCAAGCTAAAATGCAGTGTATGTATTTCATTAAGCACATGCCTATGAAAGGATGGTGTTCTTTCTAAGAAAATTGTTATTAAATGTAGAGGCTTCCATGGCTAGCAAAATTCTATGAGTCCAGTCCAAATATCAGTCTCTATAAGACTTCCTGGCCTCTTTTCTCAGAAAATGCCCCCCCTTGTTTCATTCTATCTGTTTCAGTTTTTTCCTCCCTTCTTACTTCTGTGCCAGGTAAATTTACTCCCGAGTAAGCTTCCTTTAAAGGAAACTGCAAAGAGGGGGGGAGCAATCTTTCCCAAGGTACCCTGCATCTCACTTTCCTATTCACTTTTGTGTTCCCTTTAAATCAAATCTATGGCTGTTTTAATTATTTGTGAGTGGTTATATCGATTGAATTAACTTTGCTTTATAAGAGATCCTCTCCCTATCTTAGGAAAAATGTTCACTTCAATCTTCCTTTAAAGATAATTTCTCTAAGAACTTGCATTCTTTAGTCTAAGGAAGCAAACTCACTCAAACTATCTCAAGATCTGCTAAAAGGGGTTCTGTGTAAAGTTGGGTACTTTTATTTTCCTCTTCCTTAGTACATGATAGGAGCATAGATGTTTCCTTTCCCAGTTGTAAATCTGTACTTAAATGTGTATGTCTCTTTGATAGTACAAATCCTGCTGTGGAATCTTGCTGTGAACTCTATATTTGGAGGGTTGGACTAGATGACCCCAGGGTCTCTTTCAACTCTCCCAATTTGTGGCTGTGTGGAAGGAACATGTGTCTGCAAGCATTGGAGGGTAATTCTTAAATTCTGGCGTGCTGATGGAGTTGAAATTCAGCCTAGTTTTGCTCTTTAGTCTTAAAAGGTGAGAGGTGAAGCTGTGATGTTTTGAAGCACAACTGGTAATATCAAGCTGATTACAGTGTTTATCATTAGGGGGGGGGATCAGACTTCAGAGTCAATTCAAAGTTTAAGCACATACAAATACATATGGGGGCCTTGACCAATCCTGTAAATAAAGGGCAGGAAAAAATTTGTCTGCAAATGGTGTGGCTGAAATGACTGAGAATATTTAAAATAATAATAATAATATTAATAAAATCCTATGAATTCTGACTCTCTGGCCATTTCCCCCATATATAAGGGCGTGGCATTGTTCCACGAATAGCCAGAGGGATATTAGCCCTTTCCTGTACATAAAGGAAGCAGTCCTTTGCTTGGGCTGCAATTGCTAGCTTTGGTGAATACCAGAGGGATATTAGCCCTTTCCTGTACATAAAGGAAGCAGTCCTTTGCTTGGGCTGCAATTGCTAGCTTTGGTGAATACTTGAATTGCTGAGTTT